CCCCAAAACCCCAAAACCCCAAAACCCCTTTATGCTAAAATCTTATCTATTTTTGTTAAATTAAAATAATATTTTTTAATAGCAAATGGCTTAGGATAATGAGCAAATTTGCTTGCTAGCATTTAATGTGTTCGGATTAGTGTGTATTTTATACTCTTGCATTGGAATTTACGATATATCAAAGGAATATAGAAGCCTTGATGAACATGATAAGGAACTATGTAATCCATATATAATTTGGAAAGTATCATTTCTGACGCATATTGTCTTTTTCTTTATATGTTTGTCATTCTCAGTGGGAACTGCATAATCTTATCTAAATGAAGATGAATAAAGTAGAAGACTTCCTTCTGAGCACATATATCGTTTACGCTTTGAAAAAATGATTGAAAATGCAATTGATGTAGTTCGAGTGTTTTGCTTAATATTCTGTGGACCATTTATTCTAGTTGAGTGCATCCTCAGTGTAGTTTACTACAATAAAATACTAAATGATTGTAAAAAAATACCTGATGCTTTTACAAATATACTAATATACATATTAATCATAATGGGATGTATTTCATTAGTGGTAACAGCTTTTTGTTTCTATATGAGCTATCTATTTGGGAAAACTGTAAAGGAGTGCTTGCCTGAGATACGAAATCCCTAATCTGTTGAAGAGGAGAGCATTGCGAATAGTTCTTAGCAAGATGATAGTGAGAGAAATGGGGGATTGTAATAAAATGGTCAAGATATCTAATCTGTTAGAGGCTCAATCAGTCAGAGCAGAAGATAATTTATAGATAACGAAAATGATGAATTAGTTGATAATGATATCCCACCTCTACACTAGAGAGGAAATATTAATGATTCTTACTATGATGAAAACTCAGATGATAATGAGGAGGAGGAAGATGATGATGATTATGGAGATGATGAGGATTATTCTGATGATAGTGGTGAAGATCTTCACTAGAATGAAACTTCAAAATTAGTAACATCTGTAGAAACTGGTATCCCATAAAATATCTCCCTAGAAAGGTCCAATCTATTATTAAATGATGCAAGTGCAAATAATAACATCAATCGAAGTAATAGTAATAATCCCCGAGTTAATAACAATAGTAATAATTATAGATGAATGTTTATTAAGTATGATTTTTTTTTCAACCTAAAATCAATCTAGCAATTTTAGTTTGTGGGGTTTTGGGGTTTTGGGGTTTTGGGG